TTAAAAGACTTCACATAGAGTAGATAACACAACCCCAAAAGTCGACCAACAAAACCTAGCTGCCCGGAAATATTGTGCGTACTCAGCACTTTCACTCAAATCACTTTTTTCGTTTTAATTTGATCCTCATGATAACCTGGCGAAGACACATAGCAGCATCACCACCGCATCTAAAGAAGAGAGTGAGGCTCATGTCTAGAAGGTTATGCACTACTAAGTGGAGGAGCTGAGTTCTAAGCCCAAAGCCTCTCTCCATTTTCAGCTGTACCTGCACAACTGAGTAGTTGCAGTTTGTGGCCCCTGGTAGATAAATCTTTTACCCGGTGCACAAGTTCTGTGGTTTTGTTTTTGTTTTTTTTCAGAGTCTCTTTAAATCACGGGGCATGGGAAGCATTGCTCAGCTCTAGCTGATGATTGCCATGCAGAAATGTGGGCCCAGGTCTTCCAATTTTTCAAGAGAACCTGGACATTTATACTTGTAGACAAAGTCTGATATTTTAATATTGGTGCATTTGCAAAAGAAACGAAATCAACACATTGTGCAAACCCAGCATGCCAGCCACCAGCGTGAGACCTCTGCCTTAAATCTGTGTACTTGGCTCCTTCCCAGCCTTATTCCCAGAGAGAGTGGAAAGGTGATGTCACTGGCGTCTGCTCCTTTTTCTCCAACAGACTCTCACCTGATCTGAATATCTGCCCCTGGATCCCTCATCTTTTTTCATCTGTTTCCCTCCATCTGAGGCATTTTCACTTTTGGGGGTGGGGTGGGGGTGGTTGGGTACCATTGGAAATCAAGTGATGTCAAAGGAAACTTTGTGTTTGGCTTTTCAGCATGCTGAACTGGAGTAAGCTAGATGGTAGACAGCTAGAAGGCATGGGGGCAGGGAAGGAGGAGAAAGCAAGGATGAGGACAAGCCATGTACCCACGCTGCCTGCGAAGGAAAGGAAATGAAAGGATGGAACTGACGGCACTCTTGTAAATATTAAATAGTAATGCAATGGAGAGTAACGGGCCACAAAGAAACTGTGATAAGCATGCCAGTACTTTACTGTATTTCAGCACACAGCTGGGTACTAGGGCTTAACACATCTCTTTTGACATCGCAGACAGTTTTACTGTGCTGGGAGAAAACCTGAGTAATGAATACAAGGCAAATGCTTTTGCTATTATGGAAACAAATAAATGGCAGAATAAGAATGACAGTAAAAGAAAGAGATTCTATTTCCGTCATTCTAAATAGATGTTACATCTCGTGGCAGATATGATCGCATTAATTAGCTGCAAGAGATTTTATAAATAACCATCGTGTAAGTGGGCTTGCTCTGCCTTTGCTAATGAAAGTGCTTTTTGAATGTGACCCTTTCCTAATCTGAGGCAACAATATTTCTTAGCTCCTGATGTGTACAAAGTAGCAGGCACTGTAGGGGGAGGCACAGGAAATGGTGGATGTAATCTTTTCTTCTGAGCAGCTTCTAGTCAAGTGGTATTAGATTTGCAAGAAGGACAAAGCTCCTCCCAAAACCCATATCAAATCTTAAAAAGTTTCAAAGAATACAGAGGCGCCTGGGTGGCTCAGTTGGCTAAGCATCTGACTTCAGCTCAGGTCATGATCTCATTGTGAATTTGAGCCCCTCATCGGGCTCTGTGCTGGCAGCTCAGAGCCTGGAGCCTGCTTCGGATTCTGTGTCTCCCTCTCTGTCTGCCCCTCCCGCATTTTCACTCTTTCTCTCTCTCTCTCTCAAAAATAAACATTAAAAAAAGATTTAAA